CCTCCCGGGTTCACGCCATTCTCCTGCCTCAGCCTCCCGGGACTACAGGCACTCCCCACCTCGCCTGGCTAGTTTTTTGTATTTTTTAGTAGAGAGGGGTTTCACCGTGTTAGCCAGGATGGTCTCGATCTCCTGCCCTCGTGATCCACCCATCTCGGCCTCTCAAAGTGCTGGGATTACAGGCTTGAGCAACTGTGCCCGGCCGAGTTTTTTTTTAATGTGGTAAAAGGAAGGGTTCCAATTTCAATCTACTGCGTATGGCTAGCCTGTTATCTTAGCACAACTTGCTGAATAGAAAGTCCTTTCCCTGTTGCTTGGTTTGTCAGCTTTGTCAAAGATCAGATGGTTGTAGGTGTGTGGCTTTATTTCTGAGTTCTCTAACCTGTTTCATTGGCCTATGTGTATGTTTTTGTACCACTACTGTGCTGTTTTGGTTACTGCAACCTTGTAGTATAGTTTGAAATTCTGTAGTGTGCTATCTTGGGCTTTGTTCTTTTTGCTGAGGATTGCGTTGGCTATTTGGGCTCTTTATTGTTCCATATGAATTTTAGAATAGGTTTTTCTTATTCTGTAAAAAAAAAAAAAAGTTGTTAGTAGTTTCGTAGGAATAGCATAGAATATGTAAATTGCTTTGAGTAGTATGGCAATTTTAGCAATATTGATTCTTCCTATCTATGAGCACGGAATGTTTTTCCACTTATTTGTGTCATCTCTGATTTATTTTAGTAGTGCTTTGTAATTTTCATTGTAGAGATCTTTCACCTTGCTGGTTTGCTGTAATCCTAGATATTTTGTTCTTTTTGTAGCTATGGTGAATAGCATTGCATTCTTGATTTGCCTATCAGCTTAGACATTACTGACATATAGAAATGCTACTGATTTTTGTACATTTATTTTGTATCCTGGAACTTTGTTGAACTTGTTTATCAGATCTTGGAGTGTTTGGGCAGATACTGTGGGATTTTCTAGATATAGAATCACATTATCTGTGAAGAGAGGTAGTTTGAATTCCTTTCTTCCTATTCAGATCACTTTTATTTCTTTTTCTTGCCTGTGACTCTGACTAGGACTTGCAGTATTATGTTGAATAGGAATGGTGAGAGTGGGCATCCTTGTCTTGTCCCAATTCTTAAGGAAAATGCTTCGAGCTTTTGCCTGCTCAGTATGATATTGGCTGTGGATTTGTCACAGGCCCCCAATCTCTTCTGACTTGTAGGGTTTCTCCTTAAAGGTCTGCTGTTAGCCTGATTTTGGGGGGGCATTCCCTTTGTAAGTGACTTGCCCTTTTTATCTAGCTACCTTTAATATTTTTCTTTCACTTGACATTGGAGAATCTGATCACTGTGTCTCAGGGATGGTCATCTTGTATAGTGTCTTAAAGGGGTTCTCTGAATTTCTGGATTTTGAATATTGACCTCTCTACCAAGGTTGGAGAAATTTTCATAGACAGTATCCTTAAATATGTTTTCCAAATTGCTTTCTCTCTGTCTCCCGCTCTTTCAGGGACGCCAGTGAGTCTCTGCATAATCCCACATTTGGTCTCTACATAATCACACATTTTTGGAGGTTTTTCAGTTTTTAAAATTCTTTTTTCTTTATTTTTGTTTGACTGGGTTAATTAAAAGAACCAGTCTTCAAGCTCTGAGATTGTTTTCTCAGCTTTGTTTATTCTGCTGTTAATACTTCTGATTGTGTTATGAAATTCTTGTAGTGAATTTTTAGCTCTATGAGATCAATTTGTTTCTTTCTTGAAATGACTATTTTGCCTTTCATCTCTTGAGATAGTCTTACTGGATTACTTAGATTCCTTGGATTGGATTTAAACTGTCTCCTGAGTCTCAATGATCCCCATTGCCATCCAGATTTTCTATGTCTGTCATTTCAGCCATTTCATTCTGGTTAAGAACCATTGCTGGGGAGTTAGTGTGGTTGTTTGGAGATAAGAAGACCCTCTGCATTATAGAGTTGCCAGCATTCTTGCACTGGTTCTCTTATCTGTTTTGGCTGACATTTCTTTAACCATGGTGTATTTCGAGTATAGTCAATTGACTTCATTTCTGAATGTTTTCAGAGCACTGAGGCTTTGTGTAGGGTCTTTATTTGTGGCTGAATTCTTGCCCTTGTTTTCACATGGGAGTATGTTAGCAAAGTATTTTTATTGTTATAGTTTTGACTACAAACCAATAGATGACACTTACGCATAATGGCTGGTAAATGGGCTCTTACTAAGGCATGTGGTTCCTCTGTATTTCCTTGTGTTTGCAGCCATGCTCCTCCTTAGTACTCTGAGAGTGTGGGCTTCTCTTTCACTTCAGTGCCAGCCACAGGTCTTGGCTTGGCATTCCCAGGTTGTACACTGCAGCCCTGGGGCAAGCTCAGGCTTTTTGTTCTTTCCCCAGCTTGGGGGCAGTAGGGGTATGGGGACCTTGGCAGTGCCAATAGCATAGGTCCTGTCACTTGTCTTTGGGAGCTCCACCTTAAAGAAAGGTAGAACTGCTGCCAATCAGAACAGTCAGCCAATGGTGAGGTGGCTTTGTGTGGAGTCCAAGCCAGGGAGCCTTGCCTGGTGAAGAGCAGGAGGCGTGGGGGCTTACACGGAAGACAGTCGTGCCTCCTCTCTGTAGGTCAGCTGTGGTGTGCTGGAGGCTCAGGTAAAGCACTCAGGCTCTTTTTTCTTCCCCAGCTTGGTGGCAACGAGGATGAGTACTACTGCAGCAGCAATGGCAGAGGGACTGGTTGCCAGTTGCCAATGGGAATTCCACCCCAGAGAAACACAGAGCTGCCACAAATGGAAGTGATCAGGCAGAAATAGAGTGGCTGCATTGAGGGCCAAGGTCGGGAGGCCCTGCCCAGTAAGGAGTAGCAAGGCCTGGGACCTGCATGAAAAACAGTCTGGCTGTTTTTCTGTATGGCACGTGTGGCATGTTGGAGGCCCAAGATAGCTTTTGAGCTCTATACTGTCTCCCTAGCCTCAGGGCAACAGAGACTGGGGGGACTTTGGCAGTGGCAAAAGCTGTGGGCCTATTGTGTTACCTCTGGAATCTCTGCCCTAGAGAAACGTAGAGCTGCAGCCAGCCCAAGTTCTGAGGTTGGAGGGTGGGGGTGAGGTGAGTGGCTGTGCTGAGGACCTAGGCCGGTTGGCTTTGCTTGGCAAGGTACCCCAGAGGTGAGGCCTACAGTCTGTCCACATCTCAATATCCTAGATGGGGCCCTTATTGTTGGGGCGCATGGAAGATCCCTGCCTCCCTTGTTGGCAGAGCTATGGCAGCTGGTCCCAGGGTGCTCAGGAATCCAAAGCCCTTGGAGCTCCACATGGGCCTGAACAGGGATCTGCTGTGACTCCATGCAGCTTTCTGTGTCAGTCTGGGGTTCCCAGGGAGTAGGGTTGGGCAGGATCTCTTGTGCCTAGGTTTGCAAAGGTTCATGGCACAGGTGTGTATGGTGGAGAGCCTTCCTTGGCTCTGTGCCAATCCCAGGCAGGCAGCTGTCCTGCCTCACTCCTCTCTGCTCTCCATGGGTCACCACTGCTTCCTTGATGAATTCCAAGGTGGCCCCCTGGATGAGCCAGTTGAAGAGCCACTTGCCACTTATAAATTTATAAGTTTACTTGCCACTCTATCTTCTCTCCTGTGAAAGCAGTTCACACTAGCTGCTTCTAGTCAGCCATGTTGATCTTGAAATCTAGATTGTATTGTGGTTCCAAAATTATTTTAGAATTGTTTAGCACATACTTCTAGAGAAACAAACCTACTGAAAATATTTTATGATGTGTGTACGGTCTATTCTCCACACACTTGCCCATGTATTAGGGCATATGTTAAATACTGTATTGATGGTTTACCTGTGTGAGTTATTTTTTCTCTTTAATAGGTTCACTAAGTTTGCTTTCAGTTTTAGTTTCTTCTTTTCCTTTGTGATTTAGTTTTATTTTTTTTGAAATATATGAAATCTGAAACTGATTCCAAAAGTAAAAAAATATACAAGGTATACTTAGAGAAGTTCCATTCCTTCCCTAGTTCTCCCTCTTTCATCTTGTAGGTAATCAGCTATATTGTACTCTTACATTTCACCTGTTTCATTTTGTGAAGCTAAGTATCTTTCTAATGTCCTTTCTTTCCTTCTTTTTTTTTTTTTTATCCTTCTTCCTTACCTAACGGTGGCATACTAGTTTTCCCTTTCTCAGGTTTTTTTTCACTTAACATTATCTCCTGGAAATCCCTACAGGTCAGTTTATAGAGATTTTTAAATTGCTTTTACAATTCTATGTATAGCTATTTGTACCACATTATTAACCATAACTTTCATTATACTATAGTTTATAACAAACTCGTCCAACCTGCCTTATTTTTGTTGTTGTTGTCATTCTGGTCTGTTTTGTTTTGGGCTTTTAGCAGCCCAAAGCCATTGTTTTTAGTTTCTGTCTCTAGTGATAAGCGGAAAAGAGGAATGAAAAAGGGGCTTTACTGGCACAACCAGAAACAGAAACTAAGAATCTGTGACTGTATTCTCTCCCTTGGACACCCCTAGAACTTTATGGTATATGGTATATACATTGGCTTCTTCAACCAATATCCAATGCTTGAACATTTATGTGGTTTTGAGTATTTTGTAATTACAAATAATGCCATAATGATAAACTTGTACATATGTATTTTTATTGTTTGGTTTATGATGTCTGTATGATCTATACAATGTAAATAACCTAAGAAAAATATAGACTAACTATATATGATTCCTAGAAATGTTTATAAAGTGAGAAAGCATCAACATACAGCCATTAAAATTCTTTTCAGCATTTTCTCATCAAATCTATCATTATTGTAATTTAGCTATAACTTTGCACAAGTGACAGAGAATGCTCATGTAAATGTTTTATAAATTTGAAATACTGAAATTTCACAATAGATCCATTTTTCTATTTAGTGGAATAAATGTATTTTCTTTATGTAGCTCATAATGAAGTACCAAATGAAAGGCTTATAGTTGAGCATCAAGAATCAATGTCAAAAACCGAATTGCAAGTAAAGAAACAAGAAACTTCTACAGAGCAACCACTCACCAGTAAGTATAAAAATTACACATAACTTTAAATTATTTTAAATTAGTCACAGCAAAGATATTTTTCTTTAGTTCATGAGTCTTGAATTTACAGAAATTTTACCTTGGACCTAAAGTGTGAATACCATAAGATAACTAGAGAACAAAAGCTAGAGTATTTATTACTTTTAGTTAGTATTTCTGGTTATAATGGTATTTTGTAGCCATGATCATGTGCTCATTATTCACCAAGGACAATAACAGGCCAATAATTGTCTTTCAAAGAGTGTGTACCTTTTATCCAACTCTAGGAAGTTACAGGTCCAAAAGCCCAATTTATTCCGCTGACCTATTCAGTAAGCTGCTTCCATTTGGCATCAATCAATGAACAGAAAATTTGCTGAGACCTGTAACTCAAATAAAGTTCAGAGAAGCCAAGGGGAACAGTGGCATAGGAGGCTTGTTAGATGGACTCCAGGGCATTCTGTTGGTTGGGGCCTGCTCCAAGGTAGAGACCTTTTTGGTAACTTTAAAATGATTGCAATCAGGATTCCGTCAAGCGTAATGTGAGACTGCCAGTAGCAGAATAGGTTCATGAATTGCTTGGCCTCTTGTCTATTTGTTGCAATAGAGAGGGACCATAGTTTGACAGTTATCTCCTCAGGCGTGAGACATGTTTCCCCTTTCTAGTTTACTCCCAGGAATTCCCCTTGGGTAACAAGGTCTTTGTGTTTTTTATGTATTAATGGCCCCACCATGTTGCTGCGTTGGGCCAATACAACATCCAGTCCTTGCTGGGTAGTGGACTTGCCTGGGCCTAGCAGTAGGGAGTCGTCAATGTCTTGGAAGGTTAATTGGAACAAAACTGTTTCCAGATCATGGTTTTGCGGAGGGATTTTAAAGGTGTATTCCAACCTGTTCCATATAAGACAAACTGTTCCTGATCATCTGTGTGGACAGGAATGCTGAAAAGGGCATTTGCAATGTCGATTGCTTTATACCTACTTCCCTCAGCTTGGGTAATTACCTTTATGGACAGTCACAATGTCAGGTCATAGTAGTGTTCTAAGATGTACCATAGCATTAAGCTTCCCATAATCAATGGAGTTTATAGGCACCCAAGGTGATACACAGGCCAACTTAGTTATTGCATGGAGAAATAGTCTCATGAACATCTTTGGCTTTATGATTATGAAGAGCTGAGCAATAAGGGCAGTGATTTCTATTTCTCCCTCAGGTAATTTCTGGAGACTAATCTCTAGACACTTGTGGTTTAGTAAGTTTACAGTCTTCCACATGCTTCACTAAAATGACTTTAACTGCAGTAGTTCCCATCAGGGCTTGACGCTGATGTGATTGGGGGTTCACACAGAAGGTACTTCTATATCAATAATATATTCAGTAGAGGGAGTCATATAAACAGAGGCTTGTAGTGGCCCAGTGGGACCCACCCATAGTTGTGTTTGGGTAAGGGTTGTGTTTTTGGTGGCTTCAGACCGCACACCATATAGCATTATCTGTTTCACCCTCATCGTGGTGTCAGACATTGTGGAGATCAGTCATTGGTAAACTAGTGTTCGAATGGTGCGAGTTATGCAGTTCTGCAGTATGACCTCTTTGAACTCTGACTTGGTATACATCCTCAGGTGCCACTGTGGAAATAGGTCTGTTGGCCTAACCCCTAATTTTGTTTTGTTTTGAAAGCTGAGACTTCTGGGTAAACACAGACCATGTTCTCTGATTCATCTTAAGATCACTATGATGGGTAGAGGAAATAGCACATGTGTTAGTTATAGGTATCACTACCATTTTGACTCCAGTGGGGCTGTATGTTGGCCCTATGCCCTACTGCCTGGCCAGAAGATCCTTAGTGGGGAGTCCGTCAAGCTCTTCTTTGAGACTTCATTGTTGAGTGACTAGACAATGCTTGCAGTGTCAGGGAACTCATCATGAGTGGGCCAAACTTTCAGAGAACAAATGATAGCCTATAGAGAAAGGAGAGTATCTCTAGTGCTCATATCTCTTTTTTTTCTCTGCCACCCTACCTCATCTTCCTTGGACACTTTTAGGACACTCAGAACGAGGGGCCCTGTTGTGACACACTATATACGGTGCCACTGTCACACACTATCTTAACATGCTTACCTCCTTTATGGTAAAAGCAAACTACGCAAGTTCCTATAAACTCCTCAGGTCACTGGTGAGGTGAACCTGAGAGAACTTTATTCTTTCAAATTTAGTATAAATCTTAAGTAAGTGTGTCATCATAGGCTGTCTGTTCATGCCAGAGACATATTTAGAGTTAACAATAGTCATTGGGTGCAACTCAGCAAGCCGTGTTTGCAGGGACTTGATAACAAACTACTTTGTTTTCTGGTTTATCTTTCTGTGTTTTATTTAATAAAGATAGATATCTCTCCATATTATTCTTATTTCCTCTTCTTTCTTACTTAAAAGATAGTATTCTAGATATTTTCCCTTTTGGTTTTTTCCCACTAAACATTATTTCATAGAAATATCACCAAGTCAGTTTGTAGGGATCTTTTTCATTCCTTTTATAAAGGTATGTGCAGTTTTTTGGACCATATTATAGCCCATAGTTGATGTTGTCATAGTTTATATGCTTTACTCAACAGATCTATGCTTGTACATTTAGGTGGTTTTGAGTATTTGCAATTATGCTGTAATGAATAACCTGGTGCATATGCATTTTCATTGTTTGGTTTATGAATATGTATTAATTGAAAATATAAAAAACCTAAGAAAGCCAGAGACTAAGATAAAACATATTCAAAGTGCAGGAATATTGATATGATGAGATAGTCCCAACACACGCCCATTGAAACTCTTCTCACAATTTTCATAGTAGATACAGCATCTTGGTAATTTATTCATAACTCTATAAAAATGAGAGAAAATGCCACTGCACACTGGTAAATTTGAAATCTGTAGATTTCAAATAGATTTATTTTTAATTTATGGACTAAACACATTTTTTTCTATAGCTCATGATAAAGAACCAGATGAAAATCTTACACTTGGGCATCAAGACTCAATGTCAAAATCAGAAATGCAAGTGAAGGAACAAAGCACTCTCAAAGGACAAAGAATTACTAGTAAGTATAAAAAATAAAGATAACTTTAAATTATTTAAAAGTAAGTTCATCCGAAGGTATTTTTGCTTTGGTTCACAAAAGTTTTATACTTTGACTAAAATGTGAATACCTTACCATAATTAAAGAAAAAAAGGTAAATATATTGATACATTTTGGTTGACATTTCTGGCCCTTAGATTATTTCATGACCACAGGACACACAGTATCCCCCAAGGCTTTATAACAAATGTGTAATTGTCTTTCCAAAGTAGTGTGCCTTTCAGGCAACTCAAAGTAATTATGGGCCCAAAAACTTAAAACCTCTCACCTGTGGCCTTCTGCCATAGGCACCAATCAGCAAAGATATTGTTTAGATCTGTAACTCAAAACAGCAAATGGGGATCATAATAACTGAGGGGAAGGTAACCTAGGACACCTGTTTAAGGGCCTCTAGGGCATCCTTTTGGTCATGGCCCCACTGAAATGAAACAGAATTTCTGGTAACCCCATAGATGAATGAATGTCATCAAGGATCACACATAGGGAAAATGAGAGTGTATTTATCCAAACAGTTCCAGTAACTGCTGGGCTTGTTTTTTTTTTTTTTTTTTTTTTTTCTTTCCTTTTTTTTTTTTGAGACAGAGTCTCACTTTCTTGCCCAGACTGGAGTGCAGTGGCCCAATCTTGGCTCACCGCAACCTCTGCCTCCCAGGCTCAAGTGATTTTCCTGCCTCAGCCTCCCATGTAGCTGAGATTATAGGCATACCCCACCACGCCTGCCTAATTTTTGTATTTTTAATAGAGGTGAGGTTTCACCATGTTGGCCAGGCTGGTCTCAAACTCCTGACCTTAAATGATCCACCCGCCTCAGCCTCCCAAAGTGCTGACATTGTAGGTGTGAGCCATTGCACCCAGCCTGAGGTTGTTTTTATTTGTTAGACCAGAAAAGATCAAAGCTTGGCAGTCTCCTCTGGAATGAGATGTCACCCCTTAGAGATCAATCCTAGGCATTTCATCCAGGTACTCGGTAACTGTATCTAATGGCCCAGCTAAGAGCCACTGGTGAGTCATTAGAGCAGCCAGTCATTTTGGGTGATGTCCTTGCTTGAGTCCACTTAAATAATATAATCAATATAATGAAAGGCTAGTCTTCCCTTGGGACCAGGCCACTTAGAGGTCATTATGCATTGATGACAGATATTAGAGCAGTTTGGTAGCCTTGTGGAAGGATATTAGTTATGTTTTCGAACTTATTCTATATAAGGTTAAACTGAAAATCTAAGTGAAAAAAAGATATGGGAAGGCATTTGAAATGTCAGTTGTTGCAAACCAAGTTCCCTCAGTTTGGAAAACCTGTATGACAACTATAGTTTCATGTGTCTTTGGTGCCCAGGGCTGTAATATAGCAATGGACCAGCAAAATCAATTGAGTCATTATGCACCTGAGGCTGTGTACAAGATCTACTTAGTTATTGAATGAAGAAATAGTCTCATGGAGAACTTTTGCTTCAATAAGCTCAACAAATGACGACAGCCATTTCTGTTTCTTCCTAGGAAGCTATTTTGGGAAATAAAGGTGCTAGGCGCTGTTAATCCGGATATTTACACTCTTCCATATGCCCAACTAAAATGACCTTAAATGCCTCAGTTCCCATCAGGGATTGGGATGAATGCAAGTGGGGGTTCATACAGAAAATACATCTATACCAATAATACATTTGGTGGGGGAGGGGAGTAAAATGGAGTTTTGCAGTTGTCTGAAGGGATACTCTCATGGTAGTGTTTGACCGAGGGTCCTGTTGGTGGTGCCCTCAGATGCAAAACCAGAGAGCATTACTTCTTTTCCCCAGTTCCTGGTGTCAGAGGTTGTGGGGATCACAGCCACCTGTGCACCAGTATCCTAATGACCCTAGAAATGCAATTTCCTCCCACCTTCCCTTTAAATTCTGATGTTACCATACATTCTCGGATTACCACTGGTAATATAGGGATCTTGGCCTAACTCTTGATTTTCTTTATTTTCGAGAGCATGAAGTTTGAGCAAAAGTAGTGGAGGGTTCTCTGATTCATTTCAATATCACTGGGAGGTACAAAGGGAAGAGCACTTTCATTAGTCATAGGGGTCATCACAGTCTGGATTTAGTGGGGCTGTGTGTTGGTACCCATGGCCCACTACCTGGCCAGGAGATTCTTGGTGAAAAGTCCATCAGTGTCCTACTTCAGATTCCATCGTTGATTAACTAGACTCAGATATTTCTTGGGGAGAGCCCTCAACTAGATCACCCAGGAGTGGATGCCAAATTATTTTTAGATCACACTGTTCACTGGTCACACATTGCTATCTTGGTGGTAGATGCTTTTTCCATGCCCAGAAATTTGTCAGTTAAGATCTGAATTGTGCCACAAATTAATTGACATTATCTTATACGGAGGTTTAATTGAGCTAGTAAAGGCTATGAAATGAAACTAGAGATCTGAGTCTGGTCAAATCTTGTCATTACTGTCCTCACTCCATCAGTGACCTTAGAGACAGCAGAGTGGTGCAAGGGGCCATTATAGCCTCTGCAGATGATGGCCCAAACATGTTTTCCAGTAGCAGGGAACACAACTGTCCTCACTCCATCAGTGACCTTAGAGACAGTGGTGTGGCTCAAGGGGCCATTATAGCCTCTGCAGATGATGGCCCAAACACGTTTTCCAGTAGCAGGGAACACGTCATGGGTGGGCAATCCTGTCAGAGCCAAAAATAGTATACAACTGAGGAAGGAGAGGGTTTCAGATGTTTGCATCATTCGTTCCCCTTTCCTCCACTTCCTTAGGCAATATGGGCACTGTCAAGACTCTCTTAAGGAGGCATTCTATAGTGATAAGCTCCACAATATGTCCCTCTTGCTCCCTAAGTTAAACAAGATTATCACTTTATTGTGAAGGCACACTACCCATGTCTCTTAGTGCGGGCAAAATGATCATCAGGACTTTGCATTGTTTTTCATTAAAGCATGAGTCTCAATAACTGACTACATTACAGGCTGTCCACCAGTTTTAGGGGAGTGCCTAGGGCTAAGAACAGTCATTAGGTGCAACTGAGTGTGCAGAGTCTCCAACTTTTTGAGCCCATTAACTTAGGGTCATGAGCAGTAATCACAAAATTACTTCCCTAGCTTTCTCAGAGCCCATCTGCTAGATTTTTCAATTGACTCATTGGATATCTTGGTATGTGAATCAGAGGATAAAGAGACTATTGTTCCATGTCAGAATTGAAAAACTCATGTAAATAATACATTAGCATTCTAGAAAACCCCATGGTGTCTGCTGGACTTTCTAAGACATGATTGACATGACTGGCAGAGTGCCCTGTGGGATGCTGAGTCTCTTGCAATTGATCCAGTAGTCTCTCCATTCCCTTTCCACTGAGAGTGTCCTGCAGACTCACTAGCACTTTCCAAAGTGTTCCTTCCAGAAAGGCTTTGTGCTTCATTGACCACCCTGCTGTTTGTGGTAGTTTGTCAGAAACAGAAATGCCAGTTTTTGAGTTGGTCTATTAAGTAACAGGCCAAACTCAAAGTCACAATTAACCTTACTCACTTACTAGCATATTAAAAGCCATAGGCTAGATAGAGGCAGGTCCCCAGCTCTACAGGGTCCCATTTTACCCCACAGAAAAGCACTTAGCAAGTGCATCAGTGTAGACTGTGTGAGTGGGCATGGGATGGGGTTGTCTCACAGTGGAAGGAGCCCCAAGCAAGAAGCTATTTTCCATTTTATGGACCCCGAGGCTGAATTAGCTGGAGCTCTGAACCGCATGAATACCTTTAGTTATTTGTTCCCTATTCTAATTCCTCTCAAATTGAGTTCAGATTGCTTAACATATACTAGAACAACAAACCAACTAAAAAGATTTCATGATTTGTTTGCACTCCACCTCCACCTCTCATGTCCAATAGTGAGGGTTTATGTCAAATACTATATTGATGAGTTATTGCTTTTATTTTTTCTTCAATGATTTCATTTCATTATTTCCTTTTAGTTTTCATCACACCTTCTTTTCCTTGTGGATTTAATTTTGTTTTTGAAATCTGTAGGCCATGAAACTACTTTCAAAAGTAAAACAATATATATGCAAAAAGTTAGAGGAGTATATTTTCTTCCCCAGTCCTCTCTCCTCATTTTGTAGGTAACCAACAACATTGTTTCTTATATCTTTCCTCTGCTTCTTTTTGTAAAGATAACTATCTCTCTATTTCCTTCTCTATTTTTTTCTCATTTCTTCATCTTCCTTCCCCAAAGATAGCATTCAAGTTTTCCCCTTTGTAGGTATTTTTTTCCTTCACATTATTCTTTGCAATCCCTTCAAGTCAATTTATAGACATGTTTAATTTCTTTTATAGTTACACTTACAGTTGTTTGTACCACATTATTTACCATATGTACTATACCATAGTGTGTGGTACAGCACGTACTTGAGTAACATCATTTTGTTCAACATCGTTTGATTATAATGTTAATAAGAAAAAAAGTTGACTCCTAGCCAGGCACATGGTCTGGAGTTAGCACATTCTCCCTGTGTCTGCATGAATTTTCTCTGGGTGCTCCGATTTCCTCCCACATTCCAAAGATATGTATATTAGGTAAATTGGTGTGTCTAAATGGTCTCTGTCTGAGTGAGTGTGGGTATGTGTCTGAGTGCACCCTGATACGGCATGGCATTCTGTCGAGGGCTGGTTCCCCCCTTGTGCTCTGAGCTTCTAGGATATGTTCCAACCACCTGCAACTGTTAACTGGAATAAGTGGGCTGGAAATCAAGTGAATGAATGAATACAAATTATTGTAAAATAAAAATTTGTATACAATAATTATGCAAATGCATGACAATAAACAATGCAGTACAAAAGCAGTCTGTAAGCTACCATATTTGTGATTGCTTTTAAATTATATGGTGGGAGGAGGCATTCCTTACAATTTTGCTTTGCTTTTGATTTATTCCTTTGAATAAATCAAGGAGTGTGTTCCTTGACTTAACTCACCACCACTATGACAACCATCACTCACTGATTAACCACAAATTGGGTAAATAATTGTCTTACTTGTTTTTATTATTTTTTCTTAAATCTATGTATAGCTCACATTTATTTTAATGTTTACTATTGGAAGTGTTTTGGGTCTTTATTTAGAAGTTTGTGATGTTTTTGTTACAAAAAAAAATACTGTAGGAACATAACTCTTGTTTATGTCAATATGCCTATGGTAAAATCGGTTTCATTATGTGTCATTTTGCTTAAGGTCACAGTTTCCAAGATTCTATCAATGACATTATGTGAGGACTTACTGTATATACATATCTCAGTTTATTCAACCAGTCTCCTCTGCTTGAAAGTTTATGTGGTTTTGACTATTTTGCAATTACGTATATGATATAATAAATAACATTGTACGTATGCATTTTTATTTTTATTTCTGTGAATATGTATTAACCTAAAGTATAAATAACATAAGGAAACTAGTGACTAATATGTATCAGATGCCTAGAAATGTTATGAAATAATGAGCTTCAACACACATCCATTAAAAATGTTCTTATAGTAGTCATGTCACATCTGGATTTATGATAATTTACTTACAAATTTATCAAAATGAGAAAATTTTGCTACACAATTACAAGTTTGAAATCTAGAGATTTCACAGTAGGTCTGTTTTTCCATTAAGAGACTAAATGCATCTCCTTATGTAGCTCATGAAGAAGAACCAGGCAAAAATCTTGCACTTGAACATCAAGATTCATTGTCAAAACTGGAAATGCAAATTAAAAAAAATGAAAAACTTCCTGGAGAGAAAAGACATAGTAGTAAGTATAATAATTACAGGTAACTTTAAATTTTAAAAGTTAATCTCATTAGATCATTTTTCTTTGGTTCATGACTATGTAGTTGAGCGTATAGTTTATAGAAATTTTACATGTTACAGTGTGAATACCTTAAAATAACTAGGGAACAATAATATTTGGTTGGAATTTCTGGTCTTGAGACTATTTTATGGCATGCTTATGTGCTCAGTGTCCACCAAATCCAATAAAAGTCGTTTGTCTATCAAAGGGTGTTTACTTTCAGCCAACTGTAGGAGATTATGAGTCCAAGTGTTCAACAGGAACCTTGGAACATGTGGCAGTATCCTTCTGTCATAGACTCTAATCAGCAAACAGAAGGTTGGTGAGATGTGTAACTCAAATGACAAAATGTATCAGAGAAGGCCAAGGGGAAAAACAGCCTATGTGGTCATTGAAGGGTCTCCAGAACATACTATCTTTAGGATGCACCTAAGGGTAGAGGTCTTCTTGGTAACCTGATAGATGGTGTCATGAAGATGTTCATGAAGGGAATGTGAGAGCTCCAGTCTGGCTTTCCTTTTATTTGTTGGGGCTGAGAGTGACTAAAGCTGAGAGTGACCCAGCCCTTGCTGGGTAGTGTTTTTGTCTGGGCCCAGTGGAGGATGCGATGAATATAGTGGAGGGCCAGTGCTTCATCTGGGAGTGGTGCTGTTTTCATGTCACAGCCTTGAGGAGGACGTTAAAGGTGTGATGCAGCCCACTTAATGTAAGGCAGACTGATCTTGATCATCTTTGTGGACAAGGATGCTGAAAAGGGCATTTACAATGTCAATTGCTTTATAACTATTTGCCTCAGCTTGGGTAGTAGCCTCTGTGATAGTCATAATGTCAGGTAACACCAGTGCCAAAGACAGAACTATGGCATGAGCCACCAATAGTCAATTATTTTCCAGGCACACAATGCCTTAAGCAAAAGGCCAGATGGTGAACTTTGGCCTTCTTAAGCACAGCAATGAAGACATTTTTTTTTTTCATCCCCAAGACAGTCGATAGTGTTTTTAAGAGACAAAGACACTAGGTGCTGGTAGTCTGGCTGGTTTAGTCTTCCATATACCCCACTAAAACGGTCCTAATTGCAACAATTCCCCTCAGGGATGCGGGGTGAATACAGTCAGGGGTAGACATAGACAATATGTCATAGCAACAACCCATTCAGTAATGGGTACCATAATGATGGAAGTATGTAGTGGCTTGAAGAGACCTACCTGTAGTCAGATCAGGATCTTGGTGGTGGTCGCCTCCAGCTGAAAACCAGAGAACATTATCTATTTCCTCCTCATTCTCATGCCAGGGATTTTGGGGATCACAGTCACCTGTGCGCTATTATGCAAAAGGCCCAAGAAATGAAATTCTCCATGTCCACTTTGAACTTTAACTTTGATATAGGGCCTCCATTCCTCACTGGGGACATAGGGACATTGGCCATGTCATAGTCTTGTTTTCTGTTTTTTTTTTAAAAGCTAAAATATTTGCATAAAAATTGGCAGGGCTCTCTAATTCTTTTCAAACTTCAATGGGAGAAGAGGAGAGCAGCATTTTTATTAGTTATAGGGGCCAGCACTGGGCAGACCCTAGGAGGCTACCATTGAGCCCACAGTGGCACACTACCACCAGGCCATGAGTTAGGTGAAGAGCCCATTAATCTCCTTTTGTGAGTCCTTACTTTTGGGTAACCAAACCTAGAGATCACTTTGGTGAGGCCCTTACTTAGGTCATTGAGGAGTGTGTGCCCAATGACTATTTTTATGTTGCTGTCTCTGGTGATCTCTTTTTGCTTTTTTGTAGCAGTTGCTTCTTCCATGCTGAGGAATTTGTCATCTCTAGGCCATTGATTACAGTATCACAATAAATGAAAAAAAATATGATCTAGATCAGTGGTCCTCAACCTTTTTCACACCAGAGAAAGTGAACAAATTTAACATTTTTTCCATGGACCAGGGCCAAGGTGGGGGATGATTTTGGGATGATTCAAGTGCATTACATTTATTGTGCACTTTATTTATATTATTATTACATTGTAATATGTAGTGAAATAATTATACACCATAATGTAGAATCAGTGGGAGCCCTGAGCTTGTTTTCCTGCAACTAGATGGCCCCATGTGAGGCTAATGGAAGACAGTGACAGGTCATCAGGCATTAGATTCTCATAAAGAGCACACAACCTGGAACCACCCAAGATGGCCAAATAGGAACAGCTCCAGTCTACAGCTCCCAGCACCAGCGACCAAGAAAATGGATGATTTCTGCATTTCCAACTGAGGTACCGGGTTCATCTCACTGGGACTGGTTGGACAGTGGGTGCAACCCATGGAGTGTGAGCTGAAACAGTGGGGCATCACCTCACCTGGGAAGCACAAGTGTCAGGGAATTCCCTTTCCTAGTCAAGGGAAGCCGTAACAGACAGTACCTGGAAAATCAGGACACTCCCGCCCTTTTATAGCACTTTTCCAACAGTCTTAGCAAATGGCACACCAGGAGATTATATCCCATGCCTGGCTTGGTGGGTCCCACACCCATGGAGCCTTGCTCACTGCTAGCACAGCAGTCCAAGATAAAACTTCGAGGTAGCAGTGAGACTGGGGGAGGGGTGTCCGCCATTGCTGAGGCTTGACTAGGTAAACAAAGCAGCTGGGAAGCTCGAACTGGGTGGACCCCACTGCAGCTCAACAAGGCCTGCCTGCCTCTGTAGACTCCACCTCTGGGGGCAGGGCGTAGCTGAACAAAAGGCAGCAGAAACTCCTGCAGACTTAAATGTCCTTGTCTGACAGCTTTGAAGAGAGCAGTGGTTCTCCCTGCATGGAGTTTGAGATCTGAGAATGGACAGACTGCTTCCTAAAGTGGGTCGCTGACCCCCGAGTAGCCTAACTGGGAGACACCGCCCAGTAGGGGCCAACTGACACCTCATACAGCCAGGTGCCCCTCTAAGACAAAGCTTCCAGAGGAAGAATCAGGCAGCAACATTCACTGTTCTGCAATATTTGCTGTTCTGCAGACTCCTTGGGTGATACCCAGGAAAACTTGGTCTGGAATGGACCTCCAGCAAGCTTCCACAGACCTACAGCTGAGGATCCTGACTGTTAGAAGGAAAACTAACCAATAGAAAGGATTAACATCAACATCAACAAAAAGGACATCCATACCAAAACCCCAAATGTAGATCACCATCATCAAAGACCAAAGGTAGATAAAACCACGAAGATGGGGAGAAACCAGAGCAGAAAAGCTGAAAATTCTAAAAACCAGAGCACCTCTTCTCCAAAGGATTGCAGCTGCTTGCCAGCAACAGAACAAAGCTGGATGGAAAATGAATTTGATGAGTTGAGAGAAGTAGGCTTCAGAAGATCGATAATAATAAACTTCTCCAAGCTAAAAGAGGATGCTTGAAACCATTGCAAGGAAGCTAAAAACCTTGAAAAATGATTAGAAGAATGGCTAACTAGAATAAACAGTGTAGAGAAGATGTTAAATGACCTGATGGAGCTGAAAACTGTGGCACGAGAACTATGTGATGCATGTAGAAGCTTCAGTAGCCAGTTTGATCAAGTGGAAGAAAGGGTATCAGTGACTGAAGATCAAATGAATGAAATGAAGGGAGAAGAGAAGAGAAGCTTAGAGAAAAAACAGTAAAAACAAACCAACAAAGCCTCAAAGAAATATGGGATTATGTGAAAAGACCAAATTTATGTTTGATTGGTGTACCTGAAAGTGACAGGGAGAATGGAACCAAGTTGGAAAACATTCTTCAGGATATCATCCAGGAGAACTTCCCCAACGTAGCAAGGCAGGCCAACATTCAAATTCAGGAAATACAGAGAAAGCCACAAAGATACTCCTCGAGAAGAACAACCCGAAGACACATAATTGTCAGATTCACCAAGGTTGAAATGAAGGGAAAAATGTTAAGCAGCCAGAGAGAAAGGTCAGGTTACCCACAAATGGAAGCCCATCAGACTAACAGCAGATCTCTCAGCAGAAACTCTACAAGCCAGAAGAGAGTGGGGGCCAATATTCAACATTCTTAAAGGAAAGAATTTTAAACCCAGAATTTCATATCCAGCCAAACTAAGCTTCATAAGTGAAGGAGAAATAAAATCCTTTATAGGCAAACAAATGCTGAGATACTTTCTCACCACCAGGCCTGCCTTATAATAGCAAGACTGGTCAACTTTCAAATTCAGGAAATACAGAGAACACCACAGAGATACTCCCCAAGTAGAGCAACCCCAAGACATATAATCATCAGATTTACCAAGGTTGAAATGAAGGAAAAAATGTTAAGGGCAGCTAGAGAGAAAGGTCAGGTTACCTACAAAGGGAAGCCCATTAGACTAACAGCAGATATCTCTGCAGAAACCCTACAAGCCAGAAGGGAGTGGGGGCCAATATTCAACATTCTTAAAGAATTTTCACCCCAGAATTTCATATTCAGCCAAACCAAGCTAAACTCATAAGCAAAGGAGAAACAAAATCCTTTACAGACAAGCAAATGCTGAGAGAGATTTTGTCACCACCAGGCCTGCCTTACAAGAGTTCCTGAAGGAAGCACTAAATATGAAGGAAAGGAAAAACTGGTAGCAGCCACTACAAAAACATACCAAAATATTAAGGCCAATGACACTGTGAAGAAACTGCCTCAACTAATGTGCAAAATAGCCAGCTAACATCATGATGACAGGATAGAATTCACACATAACAATATTAACCTTAAATGTAAATGAGAAAATGACCCAGTTAAAAGACACAGACTGGCAGATTGGATAAAGTGTCAATACCCATTGGTGTGCTATATTCAGGAGACCCATTTCACATGCAAAGACATACATAGCCTCAAAATAATGGGATGGAGGAATATTTACCAAGCAAATGGAAAGCAAAAAAAACCCAGAGGTTGCAATCCTAGTCTCTGATAAAAACAAACTTTAAACCAACAAAGATCAAAAAAGACAAAGAAGGGCATTACATAATGGTGAAGGGATC